CAGGTACTTCCACTGGTCTAAACCAATGCCTAATGGGAGACGTTTTTCTTTGACAAGCCTGACATCAAACTAGGATCCTTTTTGAATTATTATTCCCAAATCGCATGTGGTTATAAAGCTCTTCACTAGAAATTCTGCATTTGGTGACTCATGGGGCTCAAAAGAGTCTAGACAAACATGAGCCTGTGACACTGCTTGGAACTTAAGCTTTTTCAATAACATCACAACCCAGGGCATTATCACCACTCCTGAGAAAAAGAGTGTAAAGTGGAAACATGGAAATGTCTCCATGGAAGCAAGCTTTTTGGGGACTGTTTTCTACAGTATTTAAGAAACAAGAAAATTTATTTAATGCCAATTATTCGTATGGACTTCACTAACAACAAAATTTATATTTTAGGCACAACCAGGTGATAACTCTACGAGAACCCCTATCCAGACGGACCTCTACATTCAAGTTGCCATTTTTGACCATGTTTCCAGAAGAAAGACTTAAGTACCAACATGCTCGATGGCTTCCTAATGATTTAGCAAATATGGCTTCCAAACGATTTAACTTAGCTAAATTTAAATAAATTCTGTAGACAGAAGCAAATCAGAATAGTAAATGAGTCCTGTGGCTGGAAGGCAAGTTAGAATAATAAAAGGAAATAAATAAATAAGAAGGAAAACTGTAACCTTGCCTATCTTTTATTATACAGATATCTCTTTTCTCTAATTTGAGTATTTTTATATTTTCCTATAGTGAAGCTGATTGCAGCTGTTCATTGGAGAGAATCTTGTTGCTACTTCAGAAATACAGTAATTGGTGACATGTTTTGTAGCTCAGATTTCCTAGAACAAAAATGTTCTAGATTCTACTCTTCTCAAATCTAGTGGATCAAGCATTATGCTAGGATGGTAGCACTCCTAAAATTATTGGATATTGATAAGAGACTCCAAATTGGAGGATAGGCATAAGGGAATATAAACACAAGGTTTTCAGTATTACTGAGTAAATAAAATCTTAAATATTTCATGATAATGTATAAAATTAATGGAAGTGTTTAATGTATGGATGAGTCCGGACAGCATGAATCCCATTGACGGGGAAGCTGAGGAAATGAAATCTGAGGGAAACTAGAAGATTCTAGAGAAATGAAGATTTCACAGGAGAAACAAACATGTGCCTCCCATGCGTCCTGCAGGCGGCTTTTGTGCAGAGAGATATTATTTGGAGGCCACTGTTTATTTAAAAATAGTGTTCTTCTCTTCCTCCACTCTCTCCCCTTCAATTCTCCTCCCCTGTAAGTAATCCAGTACTGAGGTGATTAGGTGGGGATAAGCAAGGTAGAAGTCTGTTCAGTGTGTGGGGTGGGGTAGGAGCGCCTAGGGCAGGGCGTCAGAGTTCAAATGGGGTGAGAAGGCGGTATAGGGAAGGTGATGTCTGGGCGTGAGATAGCAGATCCCTAGCAGGTGAGTAAAGTGGTGTTAAATTGCAAGTATATGCAAGTTGATCAAATGCTCTCTAAACTGATAAGAAAGAAGCTTCTCTTGAAACCCACCATGGACAAGTGCTTCCACTGGTCTAAACCAAATATTTTTATTATTCCATCACTGCGGCCAGCTAAGAGGTTCTAGGTGCAGGAACACCCCAACATCAGTAAGCGTGGAGCACCCAGATCTCAGATTCTCAACACTTTTTTCTATCAGAAAAAAGCAGAAATCGTTGGGGAAACAACTGGTTTAAGGGCTAAGGCAGGAAAAATACAAAAGTCTAGAAGATCTTTTTGTAACAGAAAGCAAAGAAGTTCTCAGAAAATGAAGATTTATCAAAAGGACACAGAACCCAGTTCAAAAGATTCCCACTGGCCAAATCTGGGGCAATCTGGGCATCACAATCAAGGATAACAACAGGAACACAATAGAAAGTCATGAGTCCACGATGATCTACAGACTTGAAAAATTGGAAGTTTGGTGAGGAAGAGGATTTTTACAGAGTACCTCGCCACAAAATACTTACTAATTACAGAGAGAAAAATGGAAATGGCTGGTAGACGTGGCTTTCAGCCAGCGATCAGAGCAAATGTCAGCATTAAGGAGGAGCTGAATTTGTGCCCTACTAATCTAAATCCATTCATCAGATATCTCCATTTTAAACTGGAGCAGCAAGTCTTACCTGACGCAAGAACAGAATGCAGCACTCTTTGTATAATGGTCTTAAAAAGTTATGTAACCTGAGTTTAATCAGGAGAAAAATCAGATAACTCCAAATCTAGGGGCATTATGCAAATCACTGGCCTATACTCTTCAAAAGAGACATGACCATGCAAGTGAAGGTGAGATAGAGATGGAGATGGAGAGAGAGAGAGAGGGATACATAAACCAAACACGATATATGATTCTGAGGCAGATCTTTATCCTATAAAGAGAATTTGGGGACAGCTGGTGATAACTGAGTGGTTTCTGAATAGTAGATGGTAATAACATAAAAACATTTATTTCCCAGTTTGGGTGATTTTATTGGGCTTAATTGTAGGAAATTACACTTGAAGCATTTGGGGGCTAAGGGGGGGGGTCATGTCAATAGTTTATTTACAGACAATTCAGGAGGGAAAGGAGAAGGTTTTTATGCCTTACTGCAGCTTTTTGTAGGTCTGAGGATAGTTTGTAATGAAAAAAAAATGGATTTATTACATTTATAAATTCAAAACCCAGGTTCCTTATAATTCACAATACATAAATTATATTATTCTCTCTATAGATTTAACCAGATTTTAAAAATCACTTTTATAAGTCTTATAAACATTTAAAAATTCATTCATACGCTTCAATGGACTCAGTTTTCTAAGGATTTCAAAATTTTAACTAAAAATAAGCCTTCCCCTGCATGTGAATAACTATTGTAAATCCAATAAATTAAACATAAATATAATGCCTCTTCTGTTCACTCAAATGGTTCAGAAGAGTTCTCAAATTTATAAAATTACAATTTAAAATCAGATCTGGATCAATTATTCAAATATCACATTTCAAATTGGAAGAGCAAGGCTTGCCTGTTAGATATTCTATAATATGCCAGTTTCTCTAAAATGTTAAACTATTTTAAATGCTTTCACATATTGGTAATTTAAAATATTTAAAACACTTAATATATTTACCGATTATTTCTTCTTTCAATCCCTAGTTTTAAAATGCTAAAATGCCAATTATCACAGGTAATTCTTATGTTAGCTTCCGCCCTTAATTCACTGATAGTGTATACTAACTGGAGATTTGAGTTGGGTTATGGGATGTCATGGATTACTGTGAAAGTTTTGAGACAGACAGTGTTATGGTCCACTGTTTTCCTTCCAAGAAACAGCAGGCAGCATCCGTCCTGATTCACCCGTGAAGTTTCAACTTGCTCAGCTTATCAGTATTGCTGGGAGGGCTTGATTTGTTTCCATCCACACGGATTTTATCTTTCTTATGGGTCTCAAAACTTTCATAATAACCCACATATTAGTTTTCAAGGGCTGCTACAACAAAGTAGCACAGACTGGGAGGTTTAAACAACAGAAACTTCTTTTCTCACATTTCTGGAGTCTAGAAGTGTCAAGGCCAAGGTGCCAGTGGGTTTGGTTCCTTTTGCAGCCTGCCTTCCTGGCTCACGGCCTCCTCACTGCGTCCTCACATGGTCTTTCCTCTCTGCGCACATCCCTGGTGCCTCTCTGTGTGCCCAAATTTTATTTTATTATGAAGACAGAGCCTGATTGGATTGAAGCCCACCATAATAAACTCATTTTAACTAATTACCTCTATAAAGGCCCTAAGTCCAACATAGGAACATATGGGTTTCAACATGTCAATTTTGGGCAGAGACAGTTCAGCCCATAATGTGGCATGTGGACGACAAACATCCAGGACATTTCCCTGTGATTAGGCCCTGATAGCAAATGCTCAGCCAAATCTAGACCTCTGAGGAGTCTAACATCATGCCTGTTAGATGTCTTGCCATCTAAGCGCCCCAGGTTCCAGTTTCATATTATCTAATATCCTAGTCTGCTTTGAGTTTGCATCACCTACTTAGGTTGAGTGAGACTCAGTGAATCTATGCATGTTCTCATTCTGTTTCTGAATTGGTTTTATGTTCTTTCCATAGGCCAGGCTGCAACTCCCTATGCATTGTATGTAGACGGCACCCAATTGTATTGACCATTAGCTCCCAAGTCCTGCTCTGTCCTGCTCTGTCCTTTTGTCACCGTTCTAAGGTCACCGCAATGTAGCTCTTAGAACTTGGAATTTCCCATCATGCAAACTTGCTCAAAAGACTTCCACCCAGTAAAGAGGGGAGAGCATTTAGGGAACTCTCACATACGAGTCCAGGGTACATCAAGAAGGTAATTTTAACCTACAACTCATGGTCGAATGCAGGAGGAGGGTTAAGTGAAATAGCTGGGAAAATCAGCAAAAAGAACAGTGTGCCGAAGAGATAGGACCAAGGAGTGAGCTCGCCAAGTGCAGGGAAATGAAGCAAGAAATTAGGCAATGCAATAATGAGTAAATGCATCAAGAACCAGCCTGTTTGGCGAGCTGAAGCGGCCAAATCACTTTATCTTCTTAGACGTTAATTCCTGAAAGTCCCTTGAAAATCCCAAACATATATGATCTCTCCTTGCTCTTTCTTTAATCTATTTATAGACTCAGCTGAAGAGAATAACCTAGCAAGTTAAATCTAATTTTTTCCAAGTAATAGTCTAGGTGTACTATTCAGAATTCTGAATGCAAGTGACAGAAATCCAATTTAAACATTTATTACAAAACCACGAGGGTGTCACCCACAAAAGAAAGGAATGTCTGTATCTCAGGAGTAATCACAATAAAAGACCAGAGCACTTTCAGTCTCTCCCTCATATCCTTAGTGCTGAGTTTGTCTCTGTGCACTATTATTTTCTTTTTCTATAAAACAGCCTTTGTGTTTATCCAGAACTTCTGTGATCATAGGAAATATGGTCTCAATGATTCTAGATCTTGTAGTCCCCGCCCCCCCCCCCCCCCCGGGCTTGGCTCTATTCCTCTTCCCTCTCTCCCTAAGCCCCCTTTTTCCCCAAGTTTAGAATCCCAGAGAAGGAACTCTGGGATTGATTCATCTTTAACAGGAAACTCAGCTTCCACTAAAACATAAAATCTAAAATGGTCAGGCTGTGTAAAATGGTGTTCCCCATAAGAATAACAACTACGATAACCTTGTAAACGAATGAGAATCTTCAGAAAAGTGGCTGATTCTGTGACAAAATAATGCATCCATTTCAATGAAGTAGGAAGATAGAGTAGGAGAGAGTGAAGGGGGAGTCTGGGGCACTCAGGTATCTGTCCTTTTAGCGGGAGGGAATTCGTCTCTTTTCACTGGCAGCGACAACAGAAGAGCAGCAGGCTAAGTGCCTGGATAAGCCTCTCTTCCTCTGTTTCTTCTTTCATAATACAGCTTACTAAGACAAGCAATTTGTATTGTGAACACTCTCTAATATACAACCA